ACTTTTTATGACCAGGGGCTTTACCTTTATTTAACATTTTAAAAGTAAATTCCACTTCATCCAAAATAAAATCGTAATCATTTACGGTCTCTGGAGTTTTCCTACAATCTGATCTAACTTGATAATGACATGATAGATCACCATAATTAGTATCACAAGGAAAGTGATATTGTAGGAGGTAATTTACTGTCTTGTCTATATTCTTAGTATAAGACCCATCTTGGTACTTCAAAGAGGCAATTTGTAAAGCTCGTTTATATTTATTAACAGCAATATAGTAAGGAATGCCAAAAGGTTGATGAATATTCAAATTGCACATAGTTGTTCCCAAGCACAATTTTTACCAAGGTTGATTTCTTGTTTATATTCAGCTAATTTCTTCTTATATTGAATCTTTAACAAATTTTTTTCTATACGATTGTAACATCTCTGAAATGTTCTTTGATACAGTCGAGCTTAACTTAAAACAGCCATTTTTCAGACCACCAATGCACCTGCTTACCCAGAGCATTGCTCTGTTTAAATTTGTTCATCTTATTTTTCTTACAGATATCCACTATTGAGTTAGTAAGATCTTTAGTATAAATATTTAAATCAGGAGCATTTTTTCCGGAAACTTGATTTATAAAGTTATACAGTTCTGCATGAAAATTTAGCCAATTCTACTCCCAAATATAGAAACGTTCAAATTTCTTCTCTCTATGTAAGTTGTTTAAAAGTTCAATCTCAATGTAGCGAAGATTGCTACATGATATATCCATAGAAACAGACCAATTCAGGACAAAAGAAGGTATATCCAGTTTTTGCCTCTGGCACAGGAAAACATAGTTGGGCTATCAGGACTATTAAAAACATTCAAATTGTTTGTTGAGCAGAATTCAATTATAGCATCACCTTTTGGATCTATTGAGTGATCATAAGGACCCCATAAGAGACTCTTAGCATTGAAATCTCCGCAAATAATTATTTCCAAGTCTTCGTGTGAATCAATAATACTGTTAATACAATATAAATAGTCACTCAAGGTGTCATTGGGGGGGGGCAATACATTGAAACAAAAACTATGTTTCCATTATTAATGATCATTTTGATAGCCACTATATTCGAGGAAGCATACAAAAGCATTGCTGGAGAGCTGTCAAGTAGAACAATTGCCGCTCGTGGATAATTTTTGTCACAAAAAGTTCAAAATTTCATCGGGATTCCACAAACTTTATTATCCACTACATAACGTTCTTGAATCAAAGGCTATTTTATAGCCTCTTTCAATAACTTTAATATATTTTAATATATATAAATTTATTTGAACCATTTTAAAGTCTTCTTCACTTCTACTAGCCATAATTAGTACGACTGATTAAAAGATCCATTTGTCGTTTGTGACAATGATAATTTTTATCTACGCTGAAATGATCAACGCTAAGCTTCAATTTATACTTTTCATTTGCCTCTTTGCAATTAATACATTTTGGAGTAGCTTTACACTCCCAATGTTTATGTCCAACTTCACCACACTTAGCATATACTATTTGCGGTTCTAGGCATTTTGTTTGAAAGTGCCCATACTTTGAACACTTAAAACATTGAGTTACTTTCAAAAATTCTTTAACCACTTAACAGATTCTTTTTTCCGTCATATTATGACAAAAAATAAGCATATTTTTGATAAACATTTTTATGAAGAAAGTCATTATATAAACCCAAATCAGCAGTCAGAACTATTACAAGTATTGAATTTATTGATTTATGCTAATTTTTATTTTCATCGTAAAAAGCACATATTTCCTTAAAGTTGGCTTTTTTCGAACAAGTAAGCGAACTAGAAAACACACTTTACAAAAATAGATGTCAGAATTTAAAATGTTTTATTGTTATTACATATCTGTTCGATTCCAAAGAAGAATTATTAATATCAAGAAAGAAGGATTATTAATATCAAGTTCATAAAAGTTCCAAATTTGCGTTAGATTATCTATACTTTCCGTTTCTTCATCACTAGAGAAGTCAGACAACAAACTGTCATTACTTCCAGAATCATTTAGTGAAATTTCAGATTCACTATCTGAGTCAATATCAGAGTTATATCTTCAGTTATAAGCTTCTCATTATCATTCATTTCTTCTTTTATTTTAGCTCCAAATTTAAAACAAATAGTATTCGCAAGTAGCCGGAACAACGGGGCTAGTGAAAAGAAATTTCCGCGCCTTTTATTTGCGTAAAAGAATTTCAGTAAAACCTAACCTTGAAACAAGTTGTTTTGACACAATTCTAACTTTACTGGACTACTAGCGCCATCTGTTAGAAACATTACAACACTAAACATGCAAAAAATTCGGGCAAATCAGTGCATTAGACTAGAAAAAAGTTTTGCCCGAGCGCCGCTCGGGAAAATCAAAAAAGTGCCATTTACAAGTACCCGAACGGCGTTCGGGCAAAACTGGGAAGTGGTTAATTCTAAGATGAGACCATCTTATGTTAAGTTTTCCTGCTTTTAAAAGTTCTCTATATTTCTTAGCATCTACACTGGCCACCCCGTGTACTTTGGTATTTCTACCTTTTATTGAAAATTTTAAGTCAAAAACACCATTTTCAAAGACCATATTTTGGTCTCTAATCATAATTTTAAGTTCATCTTGAGAAAGATCAGAATCTACATCATAAATAATAATTTTTGGATCTTTCTTAACAGGACGTTGAATTACCATATAATTCTAAGCAAATCATTTGTTTTAACCTCTCTTTCCAAGGCTTCAATATCAGAAGCTTAGGAACATTCTATTAGAACACCTCATTTATTAATTTTTCTTAGTCTTCTAACACCAATGTGTAATTGGGTGGGATTAATTGAGTTTACAATTTTGTTTTTCACCTTCTTGGAAGTAGATCCTTCCTTTTTTGGATAGAGTAGAACTGTGAATTCTTCGGACCTATTTGTAGATCTACCTCGTATTTTCTGTATTATTTTCTGAGGAAAATGTTTTGGATCTGCCACTGCTGCAAATGAAAGTGGCTTAAGATTCGATAAAATTTTTGTTTGTTCTTCAAGCCTTCCTTTAAGGATGGCATTATCAAAAAATTGTGTAACCAATAAATTATGCCATAGAAATAATTTTTCCTTTTGAAATATTGACTTGAGCCTAATACAGTTTCTAAAGAACTTAAAATTGTCTGTCCATTCGCTAATATAGCAGTAGACTCAATTGGCTCTGTCTGAATTTTTTAACAAATTTGTAAAGCCATTATCCAACCAGTACCCTTTTTAAAATAATAGAATAACCTATAATGTCATGGATGCTATAAAAAGCATAAATCTTTTTTAGAATGAGGTAACAGAATATATTTGAAAGAGGTGTGGAACAACATTTGGCCAGATTTAAACAAGGATGACGACACTAAAGATTATGTTGTTAATATGAACAAAATAGTGGAATTAGCAAAAAAAAAGTTTAGATGAAGGAAATGTGCAAGATCTTGAAGAAATTTTGTACAAAACAGCAGAAAATCTTTCTAATAATTAGCTCAAAGAATTACCAGATCAAAAAGAACACAAAAATATTAAAAATAGCGATTCTGAAAAAGAGCAAAAAGAACTCTCAATGACATTTCTAAAAACCAGTTTAACTTCCCTAACAGAAATTCTGGAATTATTTATTGAAAATGACGCAAATTGTGATAGGAGTTCAAAGGCAAAATGGCGTGTCATGGGTGCCTTGTCCCCTTATCAACAACTTCTTATGGAACACAAAAGAAAAATGTGAATAACATTAGATACGTTCTTGACGGGGAAAAAAACAGAAAATTGGAAATATAGAAAAATCTAAATGATTTAAAATATAAATGATGACTTCAAATTTTTATTTCTATATATTCATTTCTTATGTTTCAATATTTGTAAGAAATAAGTTTTTATTTTGTATTGTTATAAAAACACATTTAATGAACTTAATAACAAAATACTTGCACAATTTTTTTTTTATTTTATACCCGTTTTTTAACCTCATTATTTACATGACGAGATGACATCATTTCATGCTATTTTGTATAACACTCGACCTAATGGAATATAAACCCCCTTGTTAAGTGCAGTTTTACTGTACTTTTGCCTTAAGAACCATTTCATACAGATATAAGAACATAAAACTTTCATATAAATATTTAAACCCAATTATATACAAAGAACAAATGTTAATGAAAGAGAAAAAGGAATAAATGATAGGAAGTCTTTAAGGTAGTAAAGAGGTCTTTTGAAAATGCATTTTTAGTATTTTGTATAAAACTACTATTTATCCACCGGTGAAATTATGTGCAATTTTTTTTCCATATTGTCAAACAAGAGGGGAGAGGGATGAATAATTCATTGCTTACAAAGGACCTAACAGTGATATTTTTCCAAATTAAATCCATATGTTACTTCTGCCATTGCCTCCTACGAATGAGCAGCTGGATTAATAACACTACTAGTAATGCTAAAACTGAAGTTTTAGATTCACAAGAAGACAATTTCTGTATTCTTAAGTCTCCTTTCCTTTGCCTAGTTTTCCAAGTTTAACAAAGGAAAAATCTCTATAAATGATATTTTTAAGAATATCTCTTAACACTTTACTTTTATGAAGCATATTTAAATTAGAAATTGAAAAGTTGTATTTAGAAAGTGTGTATCAAGTTGTGTTGAGAAAGTGTATTAGAAAGCTGTGGACAAATAAATTCTTTACATATATTAAATTAAATAAACTCAAAATTATTTCCAAAACACACAGAATATACACCAAAAAAGATAAACTTATCTAAAATGAAAAATTTGTACAAATTTACGACCAGTGATTAGTAAAAAAAATACAGATGGGCATGCAAAATATACTAAAAAATCATAAATAATAATAATACAATAACTTTGCTTTTCAATTAAAATATATTTAAATATAGTGTAATTTTTATTAATGTCTATTTACATAAGAAAATATTTGAAATAAGAAAAAAAAATTGCTGTTAAATTTGCCGCATTGAATTTTCTGATAACTCAAAAAAAAAAAAAAAAAAAAAAAAGCCAAAAATGTACACAGATTACATGCATTCATAAATCAAAAGTGTTGCTGATTACCAGAATTTTATTGAGATTACTTTAGCATACCAAGAAAAGCTTCGACACCCATTTCTAATCACATCGTTTAAGTACAAGAGAGCGCTAGTCATCCAGTTACTGAATCAATAGAGTGCCAGCTATCCAGTTATACAAACATGCCAGTTTCAAGGTCAAACTGTAAATCAGAATAATTATTTTTTAAAGAGGAGGGAGAGGTGTATGTTATAAAATGCGGAAAAATTCTCAAATGATGTAGTTTCATCACAATCTAGATGGAAAGAAATCTCAATTATAATGAAAATGGAATTAGTAAGTAGTTAAATGTGGATTCAAAGTCCTGACTATCAAATTTTAGATAATGATGAAATCATATTGTCTGTTCAAGAGATGCAAAAAATTAAGAGAAATCAAAATAACTCTTATGATAAAGCTCCAAATACATCAAATACTTAAACCTATAAGTATTGAAGTGGTTACCTCTCTGTCTAAAATTAATGTGTAGTTTGGTCACACGTCAAAGGACCTGTTTAACCTGTTCAGGACCAATTGAGCACCTGATGTGTCAGATGAGCGAAGGCCAGCTATTTGAGATCCTCACAGTCTATTTCATACTTTTATTTTGAAGAATTTAGGGGATAATTAGTTATAATTTCCCTTAAGAGTTAGAATTCTACCTAACTGTAGCTCAGCTCCTTTGTGGTTAAGATTATTTTGTGAAAGAATTCTCAGAGAGAAGCTAAGGATAATGTCACTTGAAACCTTCAAGCCTCTTTCTTGGCATAATGGAAGGGGGATCATTGCAATCTCACAGAAAACTTTGACCTTTATAGCAAATTTGTTATTTAAATAGTTAAAAACAAAAATAATTTTAAATTTCTCATTGGTAATTAAGAAATGTAATTTAAGTTCCAACTATTTTTAAAATATATTCTTAAGAAAGTAGCAGAAGTCATTATTTTCACGAGTAATCCTTTATATTGAATAATTCCAGTCCAAGACGAATTTTATTACAATATTACCTTTAGGTTCAGTGAATGACAGTCTATTGCATAAGCAATTTCAATGCTTCTGCTTCTTTTTTAAATAATTTACCCAACTTTTACAATGCAATAAGTAAAATATTTGCAGTAAGGTGATCTCAAACAGCTATCAACTGCATAATTCCTTAAGGGATATTCTATGACTTTCTAAACTATTTTGTTGCATTAAAAAAACATTATTAAGTATATGAAAATGTTTTTATACTGATATCTTACTAGCATGAAGAGGCTTTTGTAAGAGCTTGGAATATATGCTGGAGCTATGAATTTTTTAGAAGATAAAAAGTCTCTCGTTCTTCCTTGAATAATAACCATATCATCAACAATGGCAGGTACATTCCAGTATGTAACACCTGACATATCTGGTAAAAATCCCTTTCCTAAGCGCAATTTAATGTCCTCTTCTGAACAATTCTAGAAAAGGAAAAAATATTTGTTTAATCTCATTTCCTGAATATTACAACAATTTAATAACTTGCTAATGCTATGACAGTCTTGATTCATATAAACCAATTTTGTTAAAAGCATTAACTTCAAAAAATAGTTGTACATATTTAAAAATACAAAGTCTTAACCCATTCAGTACGGGCGTGTCATATGTGCATCAGCAGCGGGTGTGTCATATTTGAATCGCCATTTAATTCAATTTATGGCCGGGCGGTACCACATTTGACTTTTTAGATAGAACGTTTAATTAGTATTTTTTGTTTCAACTAGATGTAGCTGTATGTCTGTTATGGGGAAATATATTGAAAGTTATGTATGTTTACCTTCATTCCTATGCAATGTTTTTTATTTTTGGTATTTTGTTTCAGAATGAGACAGAGATATTCGTGGGTAGGTGTTGAGTAATTTACTGTCTCTTTAACTGCATAATTTGATATAAACAAATGCACATGTTCTCGATGCTTTCAGGTACTTTTTATTTTTATTTTTGCGATATAGGTTTCTGAACGTAGAAGAATATACACAAATGCTAATTCGTTAGTGTTGAGTAACGTGACGGCTCTTACTGGGTCATTTCACATAAACAAATGAACATGTTCTCGATGCTCTGAAATACTTTTTAATTTAATTAATTTGTTTTATTGTTATTTTATTTTTTTTTATCCCCGTATAGCAGAGTAGCGCTATCTGACCATATAAGATACACACATGCTAAATGAGTCAAATTTCTGATATTCTATTCCTGTGACATTTGCAACGTTGGACTTTGCACCCATGTTTCAAAGAATATGTCTCACTGTCTCTTTTTTGAAATATTGCTTCCTTTTCGTTGTTTTCACATAGAATTTTTATAAAAGACAGTTTTAATATTTTTTAACTTTTTAAATTTCATCTAATGTGTTATTGATAAATGCAAATTTAAATTTTTAAACTGAAGATGAAATAATGATAGATACAACAGAATTTGAAATTCAGAAATTACACACTACCTAAGAGAAATCACAGTAAGTATAATTTTACATACATGGAGTGTTAATTTCATGGCTTCGCAATTATTACAAGATTTTAAAAAACGAAATACATAGCACAGGCATTTTCAATAAATAAATTATGCTTTCACAGACTTTTCAGAATGTTTATGTGATTATGGCAAAACCTCGAGGGCTATCTGCTTAAGGGGAGGGATGCCTTCATGGAGGACTTTCTAAGGGAAACTGGCTCACTTACACATTACACATGAGGAAAACCATCAAAATGCCAATGCAGCCAGCCCGTTTGCAGGATTTGAACCTCGGACCAAACTATCAGTGTTCAGTGGACTTTACTGCTCGGCCGCTGGTGGGTCTCATACTTTTGAGAAATGGAGAAGTTAAAAAATTTTCAGTCATTTAAAATGTTAATTCACTTTTAAGATTTTGTTTTAATTTCAATTAAAGAACAAATTATTGTATTAAACAGTAATACAGTCAAATACCGAAAATCTGCCGACATGAAATCCGTGTTACCTCTCAAAATATAAATATTCAGTGTATAGGTTCCGGAAGCCGCAACATTGAGCACAAAATATCAAAGAAAAAATACTTACCGAATAATGACATCATAAATACCAAATAATAATGAGTCATAACAGAAATATCAAATTATTGACATCATGATAAAGTTTTTCTCCCCTCTAATCTGCATTGAGATAAAAAAGCTGACGATTCACTCAACTATTCTTTCAAGTTCACGATTCATGTTGTTGTATTTTCTGAGCTTTGTTATTTCACGAGATTATTTGGTGCTGCCGCCTTTTTTTTTTTTTTTTTTTTTTTGTTTTTTTTATTTTTTTTGTCGGATATTTAGTGCAGATAAATTAAGAGTATATTAAATGTCAGCCCTTTTTAATACAACGACAGATAAGAAACGTACTCAAGATTTTACTACTTGCAACATTGAAAAACGTAAAGATGTTGCATTAACGGTAATATAAAAAGTGCAAATTCTGCAAAAGATGGAGGCAGGTTCCTACTCCTAGGTTGTAAAGCAGAATCGTATGGAATCGTGACACTATTGTGATGATATACGGAAAAATAAAGAAAAGCTATTGAACATTTTACAGCAACAGTGATTCCTAACACCGGAATCCGGAAACTGGAAATCTTTGCATGAAGCGAAATCAGCAAACCTCGATGCTGTCTATATCGTATAATACAATGAATAATATAACTTAACGCATATAATAAGTTATTGCAATAATGTATATAATAATTTAAGTAAATGTATCTAATATGCCTTATTTATTTTGCACTTTTAGTCTGAATATCATGATTTATCTTTTCTGTCCTGAAATCCGCAAAATCCACACAACCTCTGGTCCCAAGCTCTGCAGATTTCTGGACATCTAGTATATTAGAGTATTTTTAGTGTGTTAAGTTTTTTTCTTTTTTTATACTGCATAAAGTAAAAATATTTTTATCATCTTTTATGCAATATAAATGAGTATGAAGAGACATTTTACCTTTTGACATTTCTTGTACATAGCTTAAAAAGAGAAATTATCATTGTCAATTTTTCGTTCGTATTAGCAGCATCTTGACCAATGATAATTCGCATTAGAAATTAGTAATAACATTTTATAATACAACATATTTGAGATGTAAAATACAATTCACCTTATATCGTATTTGTAATTTTAATATCTGTGCTGCTATTTTGATTGCTATACTTCTCCACATGGAATATATCAGATTTCCATAGCATTTCTCAGCTTCATCTAATAAATTGTAGCTTACTTGTATCAACTGCAGATAAAAAAGCAAAAATTATGATAAGATAAATAACAGACTCAATATCTGACCAAGTATGTTACTTATTTCATTGTTATAGGTTCAGAAATTTATCTGCTCTATAGAAATGTGATTAAAGACTTAAATTCCGGCTTAATTTATTACTTAATTTATTTTAATTATACTTCATCTTATAACTACATGTATACTTTATTCTACATAACACAGAATATTAATAATAGTAAGTAAACTTTCATTATTCACTTGTGAACAGACTTTTTATAACAGTTTTTGACACTTACTAATGCTACTTACATTTTGCTATATAAAACTTATTCCAGAGTAATGTCTGCAACATTTACATTATTCAGAAACTCAAGAGTTGCAATTAAAGGGGCATAAAATAATATAGATACTTCCCAAGCAAGAAAGTATGTAGCATTCTAGCTCGCTCACAGAAAAGACAGAACATGCATTAGTGCTTGGACTAAGAGCATGCTTTTAGTTCAATTCCTGAAGCTCTTAGCTATGAACACAGTACTCAACTAGAAGGAGAAAAAAAAGGTCAGGAATATGATAAGAGCTAGTTTAACTCTCATCACTGTAACTAACTTATCTTGAAAAACATATATAGCAAGTCATTATAGGCTGGTTAACCAGATATAATACAAATTCTACCTTTGAAGGATTACTCTCTCTCTTTTCACTCTAAGCAGTAGAACTCACTATGATCAAATGATTAAAAGGCTCATATGTCAAAAGCAGTGTTGTACACAGGTATAAACTGTACATAGCAATCTCGCTTATTCATATAAAGTAAATTTTGTGGCTAGATTTGGAGCAACTTTCAGTTCATTTGCTACCTTTTTCATTAACAGATCTCCCCCAAAAAAGATTCAATGCTAGCTGATGGAAACTGCAGCACTTCCATCTGCTATCAATAGATGGTGATACCACTGTAACCAATAATGGAAAATGTACATAGTAGTTACAACTGATATGTAACAAAATATAATGATCTTGCTGTAAAGTATACTTCAAATGCAGCAGTCATTTGTGAGTAAGACAAATAATTTTGAATACTAGCTTTCGTATTTAACAAATCTTTTGAAATCATTGCTACAATTATGATTTATTATAATTTAAATATTATCATTTAAAATTATAAGAATATTAATTTTTAAAAGTATAAGAATATTATTTAGATTATAAAAAAATGATAATTGTGACAATGCTTTCAAATGGAATATCTTTATTGTTTTGAAAAATACAATGAAATTATACTGTAGAAAAAACGAAAATTCTGGACTGGGATTTCTTTCTTTCTTTCCTTTTTTAAAATTTAGTAGATGTTGAATCAAAGTTCTTATATTCATGGATTGGTGAATAGTCCTTTGATTTTAAGAAATTGCCTTTAATTTCTTGCATTTACTAAATTCTTACACGAAATTAGGCAATGTCTCAATACATGCACTCAAGATCTCAAAATAATGAGTGAAGGTTAGCTGGCTTATCATTATTGACTTAAAGTGGCAGATGATAATTCATAAATTACCATCTACCACTGTTAGCTCGGAATATAGACATTTACTATACTAATCAAAGAATACTTGAAAAATTCAGCATACCCTAGCTGGGAATTGAAGCCTGGTTGACAAATAACAGTGGTGATATTTTGACCTATATATCTATACAGGTATGTTTAATGTATGCATACTTATGTTTATGCTCATTATCATTTAGGCAAAGAAATTTTTGCTTTCTGAACTTAATATTTACTTACATCAGTTTTCTTAGTCTAGTTTTACAGAATAAAAGCAATTTTACTTCAGATGATAAGTCTGTGCTAAATAGTGGCATTTCTTGAAAGCATTTCAACACATTCAAGACTGTTTTATATCATTTTTCATTTTTAGACAGAATTTTGGATCGCTAGAGAGAAACTTATGCGCTTAGGAGAGAAACCTTAGGAGAGAAGTTCAAAACAAACTCGGCGCTTGTTTTGAACTGCTCTCCTAAGGTTGCGCAAAGTTTGACAGTACCGCTCAGAGTTTATTGTGGTACCACGTTCGAGAAAATCAATCAGAAACACACCTTACCTATCCAAAACATAGTCGCCATAATCTTCTTTGGTGACAAGGTTTGCAACATTTTCTTGGTCTTTTGGGGGAACTTGTGTGCCCCCACTGCATGGACTGTAATTTTGTCTCGCAATTCACGTGTCTCACCCACGTCTCGTCACCAGTTACAATTCGATACAGTAATGAATCACCATGTCTGTCATAGGCCTCCAGAAATGTCAAAGCTGCTCCCATTCGCTGACCTTTATGGTGGTCTGTAAGCAATTTCGGCACCCATTTTGCACAAAATTTGCAGTAGCCTAGCTTTCGTGTGACAATTTCAAACAACAAAGTCTGTGAAACTTGTGGAAAATTAAGCGAAAGCTCCGTTATTGTGAAACAGCAGTTTTCACGAATCTTTTCATCAACTTTAGTGACCAGTTCGTCAGTCACAATGCTAGGGCGTCCACTCTTCTCTTCATCGTAAATGTTAGTTCGTCCATTTTTAAACTGAATGCACCATTTCCGGATGGAACTTTCATTCATTACGTTGTTTCCGTACACTTCATACACTTGTTGATAAAATTCCATAGGTTTTAGGTTTTTTGCCAAGAAAAACCGTATCACAGACTGCACCTCACAACTGGCGGGATTTTCAATTGTAGCACACATTTTCAATTTGAATATCGAAAAAACGGGCAGCGTGGAAATGTTTCAGTTGTGATGGCTGGACACCGACCGAGATGCTGAGCACGCAGACACCAAAATATATGTGATCGGTGTGCGCCTAGCGACGTCAGATGGAAACGTTCCTTACTTTCTGAATAGCCTATGTATTTTGGAGATTTACTGCAGTTAGGAGGAGAAATAGCAGACACACACAAACAAAAGGTTAAAACATATAATAAACACATAAATTCTATGTTGATAGTAATCTAATTTATCATATACTATCATTTATGGATATCATAAATATGTTACAAAAAAGTTAAAATTTACCAAGAAAGAAGTACATAAACACTTCCAAATGCAACCACTGGCAGTGAGACATATGTAAAGAAAAGCCATATCTGCATAATATTAACTGCAGAATATGCTGTGCATGCTGTATAATAGTTTCTCAGCCCCCTCCTGCTGCACAATATTAACATAAGGTAACATAAGCTACATTTGCTTTAACATTTTTGCTGCTGGTCATGCGAGTTTATGTTGATAGTTATTGCCTGAACATAGAAATGCTAAGCAGAGAATTTTTATGATTATGTGCCAATGCATTATTAGCATTACAAGTAAAATTATTTCTTCAATGCCACATTATGCACTGGCAGATGGCATTTAAAAATGAATCAAAATAAGTAAAAATATGCATTATTTTTGTATGAAACTATATTACAAACATACATATATATATTATAAATGAATTTATAACAAGTAGTTACAATGATATCATTACAAACAGCATTTCAAAAGGTTGTTCGTATATAATCTTTGACCGAAATGAAATTTTACTTCAAAACCGTATACATTTAGTACTATTGTTTCTAACCTTCACTCCTTGTCAGTGCCAGCATTACATACTCAAAACATAATGGCCACTGTTCGTTGCTTTTACCCCGCCAGTGCATGAGTGGCACCTGAGACATCATCTCACAGCACATACTAGCATGTGATTAGCTTTTCACCACATCACGTTCCAGCGCATGATTGACAGCATACATGTTAAATGGTTATGAAATTAATTATTATCTTTGCTTAATAGCTCTTAAAATTAATACAATCAGTAATGCAGTATCTTCACAGTTATCATTTTTTTAATTGTATTTATGAAGACCTTAAGTAAAGTAATAAATTCCATGCAAAATGCCTCTAAATATGCTGGAAGAGTGTCACAAAAACTGAGAAAAGTCATAGCATTTGAAGAAAAAAAGTACATTGCTTAAATATACTGAAAATATTTTGATGCAATAATGTTTTGTAAAGGCTATTATGAATAAATATGCAATATTTAAAAATTTTATGTAAAATAATATGCATTATGATTTTTACATTATAATAAATTTTATGCATTATAAGTAAAATTTTTATAATGACCATGATGCTTCATGAAGCTGTGAAGCAATTGATAATTGAAAGTGATTAAGCTGTATCCTCAGACGTTCCTCCTTACTCCCACAAACTGGAATTGGACTCGATCCAGAAAGAAAGAGAAACCTTCTCTCCTTGTATGACTCATTCTCAAACATTTTGCCACGGACAGTAGACTACGCTTGTATCATTGTCAGTTATTTTTTCTTCTTATACCTAATAAATATGTTATTTTTGTGTGTTAACAATAATGATCATGTTCTTTACATCCGCAGCATGGATTATGCTTTATCAAGGTAAGAACTTTGGTTCTGTTTTATTCATTTGCTCGTCTTGAACAAGCTGTGTTCCAATAGTAAACAAATGAACCACACGTACCTTCAACAGAAGCTAAGGTTGTAATGAAATTTCCTTTACCCTTAATACAATAAAGCAATCAAATTATCACTATACTAGTTCATAAAGGTAAATAATTTTACTGTAATTTTACTACACATAATGCATTAAAAAATAAGCAAACTATACACAAATTTTTTTATTGGTAAGGCTTCTGATGAGCATCAGATAATTTGGACAAACAAATTTAATATGCAGATTTGTAAACGAACTGTATGCTAGTGACCTTAACCTCTCTATAATTCAAGAGTTAATTGAATTTATGACTTTTTATCTATAAAATTTAAAATAAGAAAAAATGAAAAACCTCACAATCTGTTATACAAATAGCAGTAGTGACAGAGCATGTTCTTTGCAAATATCCTAGCAGTCCAAGAGTTTGAGAGATTGTCAGAAAATCTACAAATTCATCCTCTTTTGCTTTTTCAAAGAAAAGCAAAGAATCACTGTTTGGGAGTTTATTGTACAAGTCTGATCGATATGATTCAAATTTCTCTTCATCAGCTACTACCTAAAAATCAACAAAATAAATAAATATAGATCTTATAATCTAAGAATATAATACAATTTTTGTAATTTAAAACATTATACATCACAGTACTATACTCTGTATATTTTATTTTGCTGTCTTCAAAGTTGAAACTTGAAAGATATTCCTTGGAATACATGGACCACCACTCATAACTAACAAAGGAATTTTTTAATTGTAAACAAATTATATTAAAGAAAGGCCAGATGAATAAAATTAAAAATATTCTTTTATACCTCTTTAAAATAAGTAATCCATTTATTTCAAATGCTACAGTCATTATTGATCCCACATTGTCTACTATATAACATCTACAGATTGGTGTTTGAGATTTCATTGAAAAGTTGGCAATTTAAGTACTATATTTAATGAATGCAAGGTTTTACACAATATTACAAATTAAGTATTATGAATTGGCATTAAAAACTGTGTATATATCCTAAAGCTATACATATATATATATCTTAAATTCAATGAAGATTCTACTGCTCACATTTAAAATATTTTTTGTTATAAGAGCTTTATGTAATTCACATTTTTGTATACATAATTATGCCACTGATATAACATTATTCAGAAAGATAATTTTTAATGCATGACTTTGTATAAATGTATACGAAAAAATATCCTATACATTAAAAATAAATCTTATTTATAGTAAAGGAGTGCAAACTTTTATTTACAGAACAGTGAAGAATGTACGAGGAAACTGCAATTCTACACTTTCAGTATGCATAACATAAATCAGTTATGCTGTCTTGCTTGTATGATATCTATACAGTTGGTATTTAAAATATACTAGAAGAATAGAAATGCCATCTTGTTTAGTAAAATTTTTACCCCATGTATTTTGAGATAATTCAGAGAAAAGCATTAACATAAGCATCCCAATAATCAATAAATGATACTTATAGAATCAATAAATTATTATAACACTAGGGTTCAAACAATGTATGTTAAGCATAAAATTTAAAAAGGCATTATTCTTAAATTTGCAAAAAAATTAAAGTAAATAAATAAAAAATAATTAAAATAAATAAAGGTGTTTCTCTCCTGTCTTTTTCTGGAAGATGAGCATAACTTTATACTTGGATGACTGACAGCAGAGCCAAATATTCAAGCCTTCTTAATATATACTCGATCTGAATGTTGGTAAATAAGATGGATGTATGAATGCTTTTGTGTTTTGTTTTAAAACAAGTTATTGGAATATAAAGTTAGCTATTGTAAAACCAAAAGCTTGCCTTACTTATTTTTATTTATGCATAGTTTTTTCTAAATGCACAAAAATATCTTCTATACATAAATTTTAAAATCTGAACATGCGTGCACATTCAAAACATTCACCTATTTCATGTAATAAGATGAACAATCAAATGAAATTAATGAGAATATTACAAAAAATGGCAAATAAGATCTCAAAATTTTCAATAATAATAATGATAATAATAATTTATGAATCTATTTAATTATAAATCCCTTCATATCTAATTCTTTTTTAAGCATTCTTTGCTGATTCGAAACAAATAAATTTAAAGTTAAAAAATAAATGCAGTTTTTTATCTTCAAGTAAGCAAGAAGTGTAGAATTTAATTTTAAATTAATCCATTATACAAATAAGAAATATTTAAAATTATAAGTTACCTTGACAATACCAGTTACTACAAAAAGCAAAAATTTATGTGGTACACCAGTTTCTTGCAAAACTTGCCCAGCTTTATAAATGTGTACTACATGGTCATTCTAGAAGACAAGGAGACAGATATTTAACAAGCAAAACTTAATATAAACAAGCCGAACCTTTTCATACTACAATTACAATGATACAAAAATTAATAAAATTATTTTAGTCCACATTGTAGCCCGAATATTTCTTCATAAAATTCTGACATTATTCATTATATTTCATTCAATCATTACATTTTAAAACATAATAATCAACTATTATTTCAATATAAACCATATAAAAATGCATAAATGAATTGAAGGATAAAAGTTGTAATAAAAGTTTTCTCAGCCATTTTTATTTTTTTAACACTGTTATCTTACAGTTTTGCTTTCCTGTTACAGTTTTGTTTAAACTTATTTTCTCGAATTTCATTATAGGTATATTTCTCATTCCATTAATTCAGTTTTCACTTCGCAGCAAAGCAAAAATACATAAAAATTCAAAATACCTTCATTAAAAATTGAAAGATACAGAAAAACATAAAACACCAAATGCAGTTAAAACAATTTAAAAATTACAGTTTCTATGCAAAAACAAACGATTTGGCCAGCAGGCAGGAAGGCAGATTTTTCAGTGCGCAAAACTAAAAGTTTCCTTTTTGCAAAAAGACACTGCAAGTGCAGAAAGACCTAATTCACTATTCTGCTAAGTTTCAAATGTAAACAAATATGGCTGCTATGGTAAAAAAAAAAAAAAAAAATAGGCTTATCCACACTTAAACAACTTTTAAATTGTTGATAATTCTACAACTATAGCATGCAGATTAACTAAAGGCATAAAAGAAAAAAAAAACCGAGTTATCTGAGCCGGTAATAACAAAATACGATGGCTGCTTTAAAACATAAATGGAAAGCTCAAAATTAACATTCTAAATTTGGTACTCTCCCCCCTAAACTCATCTATTCCCCCATATTCGTTGAAATATGATACGCAGAATTTTTCACGATTATAATACTTCCTTTATTTTGTATAAGGAAGTAAAAAAAAGGTGGTGGTTCAGTTATGCTATTGAGCAGTTATATCATTTTTGCAATACATTAACTTCATAGCAATGTTAAGTGACCATGTCTGTTCAAAGGAGCAGACTTTGTTTCTTCAGGTAACTGCAACTTTCAAGACAACAATGTTTCCATTTATCAATGTTAAATTGTTCAGTTGCAGTTAAAAGAACATAAAATTACATATTTTCCCTGTACAATTACCAGGCTTACATTTCAATGAATTATTGTAATTTCTGCTGAAAAATAGAATAAGATCTCCCCCCCCCCACACTGGAAAAAAATGATAAAATCATCTCTGAAAAAAGTGGAGCAGTTTCTGATAGAATGATGGTCTAAAATGCCTAGTTACCACTAACACAGAACTTGTATGCTTCCATTCAAAAGAGATTTTGAACATTTCTGTATGGCAAAAGTCTACAAGCTACAAGAAAAAATCTTAATCTAAAGAATTTTGCATCTTTTAAGAATGAAGATTTCCCATCTTTAATATTATTAGTTCCATAATTATAAAGAGAATACAACTGAAGAGGTTATATAAATACACTATATTTCACTGTTATACTATATACTGACTTCAATCTCTTCCAATAGTTCGAAATTGGTAATCCAGTCTACAGTTGCTAAAACTTTTGGAACATCACGAATGATTGGTCGAACTCTGGGTGCATAAACCACATTTTTAGTCATACTAAATAACACCTGTAAGCATAGAATTATGTGATTATCAAAACATAAATTTCTTTATATTACACATATACAATGCGATTTCAAAAATCAAATATCAAGCATAATTTAGTATTTCAATTTTAGTTTGACTTTATATGAACTTCTAAAATAATTAAACCATGAAACAGAACTGAATTTAGCTTCTAACAGAAAATAAGTTTTTTTAAATTAAAGCATACAAATAAATTGATATGGTATACTGTTCAGAAGTGGATGATTATTTTAGAGGAGTTTCACTTCATATAGGATGTAATACATCTCAATGTTCCCAAACTGTGCATTGCAGCATTTAGTGGTTTGCAGCACTTAAGTGGTTTGTAGTGATCCCATGAAATGTTCCAATACTTTTACAAAAATGATACTTAGTCAACATGGTTTATTAAATTAGATCTGCAATAGGAAGAACATCTGACAGGCACGACACAAATCGTTATTTTTGAAAAGTACTTATCATATTATCAACTGGTTTGAAATTTAACTCCAGATGTCAATCTGAATTTACTTCTGGAGGAAGAAATCTTACTAAGTTGTCCTGTAATAATACAAGGAAGACCAAATTCAAAAATATGGAACTAAATGACTTGGATATTACTAAAAGATAAGTACACATTATGTGATGTCTTGCTACTGAAAAGTTGGGTTGATAAAAAAGCAGAACTGTGATTTATGTGATTTAAAAAAAAAAAAAAAAAAAAAAAAAAATCATGAGAAAACTCAGTACGGAATAGGAAATGAGGTGGTCATGCCCAGTTGATTTCAAGATCAAAAGATAGGGGATTAAGAAAGTTCCCACTAATTTTGATTCATTTACTGAAGGATATGAATGTTCAAAATGCAATTATTTAGTAAATTTTAAGCAAATTGTTTCTGATTTTGAAACATACATTTTATTTATTTTTTAATTTGACTAACTTAACTGTATCAAATTAGTACTGTAAGTTTTAAGTAGGTCTATGTTCTGACCTTAGATGTCATGGAGAAATTCTAACATACAAAAGGGGCTGCAAACAAAAAATATTTCAAAATTACTGATGTATTCCATAATTTTTCTATTTTTGTGCCCTTCTGACTTGCTGCTTCTAGGCAATGTCAAAGTTGCCTTATTTTATAATAGCTGTACTAAAAAGTAATCACATTTCACTCTGAACTCTGTATTCTGGCTACAGGCAAAAACATCGCAGTTGAAAATGTTGCGGAGAAAACAACGCTAGGCAAAAACATCGCAGTTTTAAAACATCGCAGTTTTAAAACATCATGGTACAAAATATCATCATCGAAAATAAAGTGGTTAAATTATTTCGCAGTTTAAAAACATCGCCATCGAAAATATCGTGATAAAAAATAAAGCATTTACAAATCATCCATGACATGAATTTTTCAGGCTTTAGAAGTGGTAATTGCATATTCGCATAATGATCTGTGAGCACAAGAAAGAAAAAGAAACATTTTTATTTTTATATTTCCTAATTTTGAATTAAACTAATAAATTTTTGCTGAAAAAGAACTTCAGCATTAAAAAACTGAAAATGAATAGAGAATTAATGCAACTTCTGGCACAATAAAACTTTATATGAAAAGATTAATTGACTTTACTTCTGACCTTTATTAGTTAATTACGTAAGTTTAAAATTCTATTAAATGCTGTAAGTTGCATTAATTTTCTACTCATTTTCAGTTTTTAAAAGCTTAAGTTTCTTTCTTCCTTTTTCGGCAAAAATTTATTAGTTGATTCAAAATTACAAAATCTAAAAATTTTAAATGTTTGTCTTTGCTTTTTGCGCTGACAAATCATTATGTGAATATGCATTTACAACTCGTAAAGCCTGAGAAAAGCATGCCTGAGATGTTATCGTCATGCAATGATTTGTAGGCGCTTTATTTTTTACCATGATATTTTCGACGGCGATGTTTTCAAACTGCGAAATCATTGAACCACTTTATTTTTGACAGCAATATTTTGAGCTGTAATGTTTTCTTTTCTCCCATGATGTTTTGTACCATGATATTTTTGCCTTGTGTTGTTTTCTCTAGGACATTTTTGTCTACGATGTTTTTACCGCAATGTTTTTGGCAGACACCCTGTGTTCCAGATGTTTGGATGGATTGGTTGTACACATTTTCTCTTACGTGTAATGTAACTATGGCAGGGCTGAGCTCCAAAGGGGCTCTGCATCTACAGTATCATCTGGAAATACAAAATTTTTCTAATTAAGGAACAATAATCAATCAAAATTGTTCATTACAATTAGCTCAATAAAATAGCATGTTCATCAATCCATTTTACTTAAAAGTAACAAATTGAAAAGACAGTGAAATTTCAAATTTTGTTGCATTTCCCCTATCTACCTAATCTTTTTCTGTTCTTAACTATATTTTTAAACTTTCTCAAAATGACTACACCTGTAGTTCCAAGCAATTCTGCAATCTCAGAGAGATGATCATCTTAGAGAGAGTGACTGTCATTGATGTGCTTAATTTGTTCATTTTTCAAGAAATGCTATTCGATTTCAGATGCTGTTATGGAAGTGTCCATTACGAATAGTTTCTACATGTTTTGTTTCACAAAACCACTGAAGATCATTTATAACCACTTTCAACAAGCCATTAAACAATAAATGACTTTCATAAAACATACTGCTGCCATTTTGGGTGTAACATTTCATATAGTGCTCTCTTTAGTATTAGGATCCTCTGCTTCAATGTTGGTTCAGTGTTCATCATATTAGCTTTGCTAATATTAATTTTGATGAAATTGTTATTATTGTTCCACTCTTTTTAAATTGATAATATAAACGTTTGTAATAAAATTTGATCTTTTGTCATAAACAAGGTATAAAAATAACCATATTATGAAGATTAATCACAATTTAGAAGTTACAATATTTTAGGAGAAAATAAATATTTCTCATTTGTCAAATTCGAACATTTTTTCAATTTAGCTTTGATCAATAATACTCAATTGTTTCTGGCAATAATAGTTTCACTTTGGATGAAATCCAACCTGAAATAATAATAAAGAAACTGTTGCCTAGTTACATCAAATACTAAATTTAAGTTATCCTATCCACAGCAAAATCCTTGCCAAAGATACACATTTAAAAATAATATTTGTTCCTTAATAATATTTTACAACAAATTTATTAATGTTTAGACCATTAGTATAGTTAATAAATGATGCTTTGAATGGGATAACTTATGTATCTTAGCTACAATTTTTTTTTCAGCCCAAGGGGCGTTAGCCTAGAAGGGCTATTAATTTCGGAATGGAATTTTACGTCAAATTGCTATAAATTGCTGTATCACTTTTCAAACTGTTGCCAAAAAATATTATCACCCTGCATTATATTAAAAGAAATTAAATAATGAAGAATCTTCATCAATGTATGTATGTTTCTTGCACTGTGAAAAAACAATGATATCTATAGCTATCAGATTTTGAATAGTATAGTCGTCCACCCGAATGTGGAAAAAAAGCCCCTTTGGGCATAATATAAAATCTGGAAGCTTTCAGTTTTCTTTTATTTTTACTTATTTATTTTTTTAGGATGTTTAGTATTACTTGCATGAAAAATAAAATGTAATGCTAATGATTAAATTCTGTAACTGGCCATTATTTATATCAGTGGTCTCTAAAGTAGGGTATGGAAAGAATTAGTTGGGGGTATACCAAAGAAGTAGGTTCACAGTCATTTGCGAGTGTGCGTGTTGTATCCCGTGAGTGCAAGATTTTCTCATTGATCACTGTGTCTAACTTTACTAGTATTAGAGGAGTTCAACATTATAAATGCACAGAGCACTGGCTTTTAAGTATATTATATATTATACAAGGTGTGGCTATTAATTTCCAGGACTGCTCTAATAACACCAGTAAACAGATGATGTCAAAAATGTAACCTTTTAATATGTTTCGAAGTAATCCCCATCTGCCATAATGCACTTCTGTGTTCGGTTGTATAAGTTGTGGAAACAACTTTTAAAGTCCTCTTTCGGAAGGCTCTTCAATGTTGACATCACGTTCTTGATGTCTTCAACATCCACAAAGCATGTTCCTTTGATCGCAGTTTTGAGTTTGGGAAGGTTCGGTCAAACTCTCTTGACTTGATACCAGCAGACTTCTTTTTGTTTCCCAAACTCAAAACTGTGATCAAAGGAACATGCTTTGTGGATGTTGAAGACATCAAGAAGAACATAACGACGACATTGAAAAGCCTTCTGAAAGAGGACTTTACAAGTTGTTTCCACATCTTATACAGTCGAGCACAAAAGTGTGTTACGGCCGATGGAGATTACTTCAAAACATATTAAAAGGTTAAGTTTTTCTCATCATATGTTCTGGTATTATTAGAGCAGTTCTGAAAATTAATAGCCACACCTTGTATTATACATGAGTATAATACACACCTTGTACTATATATGAGGAATTTGTTAATAAAACTTAACAAATTCCTTTTTCAACATATAACCATGAGATTGTTAAAAAGGTCTTTTGAGATCAGTATTTTTAAAAGAAGATTAAGACAACTTTAGTTCTGCCACATAAGTATATCATGCTGCCAGAGAAATATCAAGTTTTGTTAATGTAGATATTAATAAAAAAATTTTTTTGACTATTCCAGTTTGCATCTGGAGAAAGATCTTTCTCTGTTTTAAAAAAACTATTTAAGAAGTACAGTGTCAAGAGAAAGATTGAACTATATGGCTCTATTGCATATGGAAAAAGGAATGTTAAATAACATAAATACTTAAAAAATATTTGATGAAATTATTAGAAAGAAATCAAGGAAGAAAATTATAAAGTCCATCAAATTTAATAATCAGTTAATTACTGCCTAAAATGTTTTAGCAGTTTCATGTTTTACATTTCTTTTTCCCATTACATTTATTTTTTTTTACATAATTTTAATTTTTATGAATTTTGGCTTTTATATGCATAGGAAATAACATACCATTTTTTAGAAATAAAATATTAAATTATAATTTTATTAAAATCTTAAGTAATTATGTGCATTTAATTATTTATTATACTTCAGCACTTAATTGGGTTTCAAACACATTGGAACATAAATACTTATTATGGAGACCCAAAAATTTTACTACCATGGGCCTCCAAATGGCTTTAAAAAGTCTTTCACAAAGGAATTTCATTCAGTAGTAAGCTATTTGTTCATAGTCTACTTTAAAACAGGCATTTCAGGGTCTTTCTGAGTGTCCTCTATTTGTGATCACAATGCGTATCATCATCACTATGCAGCCCTTATTTTCTCCACCTCATTTGAGACTTCAGCTAAAATTAGTCCTCATACAAGTACTTTTTTGAAAGTAAAACAGGCTAAACATAAATGAAGTGATGGGGGAAAAATGAGAAATTTAGTCACCTACCACAGTTGTCATTACCATAGTAAATGAAGCAAGACAAAGGAAAATGAACCTTAAGTGCCTGTTTCAAAGTAACAGACTATATATACTAAAATTTATCCATCTACTTTTATGTTTTATTCAATTAATATAATCATTTCACTGATGAACTACTACTTTTCAATCATGTTACATTCATAATATTTATGCTAGTACATAGTTCAGGATAATACATAAAACGAAAGAAGAGAACTTGTCTGATAAAATACAGGACTATGCTGAATTTGATATTATTTCATTATAGCCATTTATTCTACACAAAGATAAATATAAAAGTTTTATTAATCAAATTATGTGTATCAAAAAATCAAATTAGTATTTATCATCCTTTACATCCATATTTATTACATAAATAAATATGAGATAAAAATTACCTTCTTCACTTCGATAACATCCTCTTTTAAAATTAGCGACTTTTCTTTAAAATATTCAAGGACTGATTCAACCCTATTTAGAATTTTTCTGGCAGCACGATTTGATTTCAATGCAAAAGCAACTCCTGGATACTGCATTTCAAAGTTCTCCAAAACAATAATCATCTAAGTAATAGAAAGGTATAAAGTGATAACTATTGGGTTGGCAACTAAGTAATTGCGAATTTCACTCATAGATGGCTTTAACTGAATTTTTAGGGTTGCAGACGTAGTACAAATGTAAAACACATTTTGTTATTTGATAGTTGGCAATTCAGCTGCCAATCAGTAAAAAAAGTTTTTTGATCGGTTGCGTAGTTTTCGTTTGGCGTTCGTTGAAAAATGGAAAATCAAAAGGAACATTTTCGTCATATTTTGCTTTTTTATTTCCGCAAAGGGAAAAACGCATCGCAAGCTCATAAAAAGTTATGTGCTGTTTATGATGACGAAGCCTTAAAAGAACGGCAGTGTCAAAATTGGTTTGCCAAATTCCGTTCTGGTGATTTTTCACTCAAAGACGAAAAACGCTCTGGTCGTCCAGTTGAAGTTGATGACGACCTAATCAAAGCAATAATCGATTCGGATCGTCACAGTACAACACGTGAAATTGCAGAGCAGCTTCATGTATCACATATATGCATTGAAAATCACTTAAAACAACTTGGCTATGTTCAAAAACTTGATACATGGGTTCCTCACGAACTGAAAGAAACGCATTTAACGCAACGCATTAAGCTGCCAGCTGTAATGAAAATGTTTAAAGAAAGCTAAAGAAATGTAATAAAAATGATCAATTTTTAAAACGACTAATAACTGGCAATGAAAAATGGGTTGTTTACAACAATATCAAGCGGAAAAGATCGTGGAGCTGGCCTGGTGAACCAACTCAAACAACATCAAAAGCTGATATTCATCAAAAGAAGGTTTTGTTATCAGTTTGGTGGGATTACAAAGGAATTGTCTACTTTGAACTCTTACCACCCAACCAATCAATTCTGATGTCTACATTGAACATCTAACAAAATTAAACAATGCAGTTGAAGAAAAGCGGCCCGAATTGACAAATCGAAAAGGTGTTGTATTCCATCATGACAATGCAAGGCCACACGCATCTTTGGTCACTCGGCAAAAATTATTGGAGCTTGGTTGGGATGTTTCGCCACATCCACCATATAGTCCTGACCTTGCACCATCTGATTACTTTTTGTTTCGATCTTTACTCCTTGAATGGTAAAAATTTCAATAATGATGATGATGACAAATCATACATGATTCAGTTTTTTGATAATAAAAACCAGAAGTTTTATGAACGTGGGATTATGATGCTGCCTGAAAGATGGCAAAAGGTCATTGATCAAAATGGGCAATACATTACAGAATAAAGTTATTTAGTTCCATGAAAAAATTGTCTTTGATTTTCTAAAAGAAATCCGCAATTACTCAGTTGCCAACCCAATAATATTTAATAAAATAATCTAATGCATCAGAAGACAGAGCTATATTTTGAAAAAAGGCATCAGTTTTTGCAATCACATCTAAAGAATTTAATACCCACAGAAGAACCTCACTCTACACTTATTAAAAGACAAGTGCTTACTGAGTACTTGCTGAGTTCTTATAAATCATTGTATTATTAACAGCATTTATTTATTGTCAATAATTATTTTTAAGTTTTTTTAACTTTAAAATTTCCAAGTATTATATCATATATTCTTTTCTATTTTTAAAGGAAAGAAAAAAAAAGACGATTTTATTTTTGGTCTAGTAATTTTTCAAAAACGCCTGAGACTTCTATTAACTTCATAAGTATTTCAGTATTAATAACTGAAACAGATTTTAGTTATCAAGTTGTGATTTTTTTGAGTCTATGTAAAATTTATACACAACATGGTTATTTTTATTGTTCTTTTTATATGGAGCATTTGGTTTTTATATCTGTTTTTAGTACTGCTACCAAACTTATGTACAATATTTTTAACATAATAATAAAGCTACCTAGAACTGTTGCTGCAAATGAAACTATTCCAAATTGCAAACATTTTGACTCAATAAAATTAAATCTTTACTTCCCATTTTAAATCTTACATATAACTGATATATTATGCATAACTTATATTATTTACACATAACTGAGCGAGAAACGTAACAGACATTTTAAGCATACTCTTATCTGACGTCTGTATTGTGTAAATTTTCAACATAAATGTATAACTCAATATTTCATTTTTACGAAAAATAAGAAAATAAACATTTAAGTTATAATGAGCATATTTAGTCACATTTGGATTGTACTTCAATGCTACAAATCTATCAATGGTAGAAAATTTCCAGTGCAAATAACTTACAAAATTATTATTTAGTTAGTATTTGGGGAAAAGGAGCAAATCGAAGTAAGCTATCTTAAACAGAAAAGTGCAAAATCCTAAAATTAACTAAATTTTTAGTCTCCAGCTTTACCATTCACACTTTATTAACTTCATGTAAACCAAAGAAAAGATTAACAATAATCATAAAATAAAGACGAAAACTTTTACTTACATCTGAAATATTTGCTTTACAAACTTGATTAGGAATATTCGCACTTGGTTTGAAATCTACAATGACAGGCATATGCTTTAGAACTCCTTCATTTGCGAATAGAAAAGCTCTACCAAGATCATAAACATAATACAATTCAGATGATGTATAATTTCTTGAAAATGCTATAAGTGAGGCACAAAACCGCTAAATGAAAAATACAGAAAAGAAAATTTATACAGAATTGTGTAATCTTTACTAATTTAATTCAAAATAGCATAATAACCCTTCCATAAAGACATAATATAAATCTCGTTAAACTGACAAATTCTATTCTATATTTGACTCATTAATTATTTTCCTTTTATGCAAACCTAGGACTGACTGTATTTTCTTAATGAAGGCAACCCTTTTTTGAAAAATAAAGCTTTCATTAAACAATATGAAATTTAAAGGGAAAACATTGTTTTCTTTTAAAACACATGCTTAATCAAAATATTTTAAGCTCGCAAATAGCATATTTGGCTTTGGGGGAAAATACTAGTGTTAGTCTTTCTCAGAATGCATCATTGTTTTAAAAAACCAAAGTAAATTTGAATCTCACTAATTCTAAATTTCTGTTCTTTTTTAAATTGTAAATGACATTACGTAAATTTGTTTTAAAATTAAAATAATTCTCAACAGTTAATACTAAAACTTATTTAATACTATATTGTAATAATTAGATTAGAAATAAAGAATTTAAATTAAATAATAAAATTAAAAAACTGTTTAAAGTTTAAAAACAAACTTACTTCTAATATTTGAAAAATCCTCAATAATCTCAATAGAATAATAATTCTCATATGTGTAATCCAGCCATGATACTTTATGAAGAAATACATCAAAATGAAGTCTATTAATCCTTCTACAATGCAAATCAAAATGATTGCAAATTCAAATTTGTTCCACACACCTGTGAGATACTGATACCAGCCTAATGTAGCAATCTAATAAAATGACACAAGGTAAGCACAAAAATAAATAAAAAAGATTTGAAAATAAAAATAATGAATAAGTTTAAACAGCAAATAACTGCATACACATCAACAGCACCTTTTTAATTTAGAAATCAAACAACAAAAATCAGCATTCTATTTCCAAATTTTCACAAGACTAAAAATAATATAATGATGATTTTTGTTGTTTGACTTCTAAATTAATATTTTTCCAGAGTGCTATTTTACCTTAATTATAACAACTTTTTACCTACAGATCCCCATTTCTAGATATCTAGATATCTGACTTCTACATATCTGAAACACCATTATCTACATTCCACATCTTTCTTTCATGGTCAAAGAAAATCCAGCTTATCAATTTATTCACATATTTTTATTAATTTGCTCCCCTAATATTAGAAAATTATGCAAACAAGTGCAAAAATTAATATGCATTAATTACAATGTTAAATTAATTTTTTATTATTTTACTTCAATAATACAGTAACGTCTCAATCTGATTCTGGTTAAAGAGCAATAGGATACACATTTTATCTGCATGAAAAAAACATATCTTTAATTTGAGTATGATAAAAATGAAAAAAATATAATGTGCTTAGATTTAAAATAAGTTGTATCTCTATGGAAAAAATAAAATAATTTTCTTTGTGTTTATTGGGAAAAGTATATCTGTATTTTTTTAATGAAAATAAAAACATTTTCAACAGTATAAACATTGATGATATAAAATATGGTAAACAACAAATAAAATTCTGTCATACGACAGTAAACAGCATATGGGCAAAGAGGATCAATTATCTACAATTTTTAATATGGTCAAATTCTACTGTAACAAGACCGGCTTATATTAAATGAACTTTTTGGTTCAGTCTAGTTTCCTATACACTGAATGTTATTTTATATAGATACAGCAAAGCTCCAAGAGTATGAAAATCGGATATAACATATTATATAACATATTGTATGGACATCTTCAATTGATACTTTTTCCCCTTGTATCTTTCACATCCCCCCCGAATTTCTACAAGTTTTAGTGGAAAAATTACTAATTGATATAAACACATCTGTTTCATCTGTAAATGAAAAACCCATTTAAGCTATTTTTCCTTTATCTTCCTTTCCACTTTTCTGTGTGTTCTAAATAAAGGCTGTGCAAGACAAGTGGACATCCAGTTCTAGGAAAACGAGGATACAAAAAGCATATCTTTAGACACAATATGCTGAACATGACCACTGAACCAAAAAACATGAATTAGTTCTCTAATAACTTTCAAATTTTTCGTTTGAGCGATCAGACAGAGCCCAATTCAGTGCTGATGCTATGATGCAATTGTGAAATTTTCATTATTCGGGTTAAAAAGGAAGTTTAATACCTTCTGCACTTGCAATTTTGCATTTAGTTCTTCTTTTAGGGAATGAAAAATTTTTATCTTTATTGCCTTGTTTTGTTTGAGTGTAAGTGTTCTCCAAGGCTTTTGCAGTCTTTAGACACACAAGTGATGAAATTCCCTTCTTTTTTCCTATTTTTGAGAACAGAAAAACTCTCACATACTCTTTGATCAAACTCTCTGCATACTGTAGCTGGGTCAAAAATTCATCTGCATTGGAGATAGGGCAACCATTATTCAAAAAGTAAAAAATAAACGCACTGAAATCGATATCGGCCACAAATACAGTTATTCAAATCTACAGCTGGAATCATGTTCAAAAAATCAAAATTCAATAATATCTGATTGACAAAACAATTCAGATACAAGGAAAAAGCTGAGAAAGGTGGAGCATAGGGATACTGAAAAAGCATTTCTGAAATCGTTCACCATTCAAAGAAGCTGGAATCTACAAAAAATCTAAAAAATGCTTCAGATAAAGACAAAAGGATTTTCTAAATACTTTATAGACACTGGAAAAGAATGAACAACATGATCAAAGCATATTAACCATTAAAAAAATCATAAATTTTTATAAACTGAACAAAATATATGTCTACAAAAATCTGACTAAAACATTTTGCATTTTCCTTTAAACATAGGTTTTGTTTCCAAGAAACTTTTACTCTGCATCAGTTCAAGGTACAATAAAATGCAGGAGGAAAAAGAAGAAAAAAAAAATTATTATGTACTCATAGAACAATATTAATAAAACATAAATAAATAAACAAAAATTGTAGCTAAAAACTTTTAAGCAAATTTTTAAAATTATGTGATGCAATAAAATTATCAGTTGTTAATTTAACTTTACATCTAAAAATTCAATAAAATTCAGCTGCTAAATAACATAAAATAATGAACGTAAGTACCAAGTGTCTAACACCACGAGGGGGATGAATAAGGAAAATCAATAATAAAACGAGTATTTTTTAAAATCAAAGATCTTAATTTAATTAATCCTATTATAAATAATAAATAAATTCCCATTTCAGATAAAAATAATAAAACTCCATTTTCCTCACATTAAGTGGTCTGTTATTGGGACCAGATTCAGAATAGTATGTGTGCATGTGCATTATACTATGTAAACACATACATCCATACATATATTCATATATATATATATATATATATATATATATATATATATATACATGCACGGATGAACCCATACATGCATGTATATATACATATCTGAAACCAGTCCCAATAACAGAAGAGTACTGTGACATTCAGACATATGCCCCCTCGGACTTCCAGGTGCTTAATGAGAGATATCTGTTTGTCAGAGACAGAATGCATAGCAGACATTTGGAAGAAAAGTGCAGTGGAAACCTCCCCTGGTGTGGTTTCCAGACATAAGGGACTAATTAAGTTTTTTTTCCAGGTTGTAACAAAAACGAGGAGAGAGCTTTGTATAAAAAGCTTTTTTGATGCTGTAAACGAGAGAAAGCAGACACATTTTAGCGTCGTCACCCCTTCAGCGGCTTTTATATGAATAATGGCTGTAATGATTCAATTACTTTAATATTTAATTAAGAATTTCTTATTAAGTTTTCAAAATCAATATTTTAAAAGACAACCTGTCTTTTCTGGCACCCAACATGAGTGTTCTGACGTTACAGCTTTATTAAAATGGTGGCAGTGATTCAGATGAGAAAATCCAAAAAAGTGATTTACAGCTCTTTGAAGCACTGAGATAGCATCCACGAAGAAGTTTTACGGACATCAGTCCAGATAAAAAGGAACGACAGTCTCCTGAATACAGCTCATCTTAAGCGACATAAATTGTGCGATCATCTTGTGTTCAAGAAAAATTAGTGCAAAAGTGCATGGACAAGCCTTGCCCGAAGAGCATCAGATCATTGTGAATGTGTAGTGTAGTGAAAAAGTGATATGTGTGTGATCATCGTTGTGCCTGAGAAAATTAGTGCAGTGCGTTATTGTCTGAAGATCACCCGATCATCATGAAGGTGCGGTGTAGTGAGGGGGGAAGTGATAGTTGTGCGATCATCTTTGTACCTGAGAAAATTAGTGCACTGCAGTGTATGGGGTTCAGTGCAGTGTGTTCTTTGCACGAAGATCATCAGATTATTGTGAATGTGTAGTGTAGTGATAAGGTGTCTACAATATGATAAGTCTACGATTCAGGTCTCTGATATAAGAGTCTACAAAGACTGTAGGATTTGTTTCTGTAAAGCTTAAAGAAACGTGCTGTTTGAGTTTTATGTTACAATAAGAAGTGTAAATTTTAGAATTTAAATCTCTGTTAATACATTTTTTAATATCTGAAAGGTTAATGTGTTGTGCTCAAATTAAGCTTATATAATTGAATGCGTAAAGGAGAAGAATTACTGTAACTTTGAAGATTCTAAAGATAGGTGGCATTCTGACATTCATTTTTAAGATGTCTTGAATATTATAAATATTAGAATTTTCAGTTAAGGTGTGTCAACCATTATTTGTGTAAGAACTGAGAAAAATTTTTCTACTGAATGAGTAAAAAGGGAATTCTAGAAATTCCCAGTATTTTTCATTTTAACGGTTGTCATATTAATGTTTAGTTATGAGCATGTAGATATATGATTTTTATAATTAACCTCTGAATGCATATTTTAATATTCCTCAAATTTTGATGAAAGTATATTGTATTATCATAAGCAATTGAGTTTAACGCAACTGAATTTAAAGCTTTTAAGAGGTAATATTATCTGTAGTCCTCAAGTAGACAAATTTTTATTTGAACGCATAATGTGCATATTATAGTGTAAACTGTCTTGTTTTTGTTTAAGATCTGTAAAAAAATGTTGTGAAAAAAAAGGTTCAATTTTACTCTCTCTTTGTGAAAATGATATTTGTTTAAATCAGTTTTATATATATGTAGTGTGAGGGAGCTAAAATTATTAGGTTGTTATCATAATTTTGGTTATATCATGGCATTCTTAGCAAACGTTAGGAAAGTTAAATCCTTGGCTGAAGAGTTAGGGGGAAAAGTTAGTTCTGAACTTAGGATATTGGAGTTAAGACAGATGATTATAGGAAATGAATCCTATGAGGAGGAACTAGTGAAAAACCTGTTAGAAAATACCACTTCAACGAGGCTTGAGAGAGAAGATACAGAGAGGAAAGATAGAATTAGGAGAGAAGAAATGGAATTTGAATTATCGAAGTTAAGATTACTATCCGCTAATGGAAATGACTCTGTAAATGGGGGGAATGAAGAAAATGAACTTAAGAAAAGCTGTTACGATCTTAAAAAAATGATTCCAAAATTTGACCCTGAAGAAAACAACATTAATTTGTATCTAGTCATGTTTGAGTGCCAAGCAAAGCGTGTGAATCTTCACCAATCAGAATGGGTTTCGGTTTTATTGACAATTTTGTCAACTGACATAGTTCAACTGATTATACGAGAACCAGAGCAGCAGGCTTATGACTACGATTATATAAAGAGGATATTGCTTAAAAGGCTTAAGCTTAGTCCAGAAAAATTTCGTATCAAATTTATGGAATCCCAGAGAAACACTCGAACCACTTAGAGAGATTTTGAATTTGAATTAA